GCTTCATTTCTGTGGGATGAATATAAATCAGTGTAAACCAAAATTGTATTTTTTTTTGCAGAGACGATGCTATAAACCGGTAGAAAAGTCAATTGGCAACTTCTGCTCCCCAAGAGAGAAGCACAAGCCCTGAAATGTGGTAAAAGCCCCATGTCTCCTGTGAATACTACTACTACTACTACTACTACTAAGTCACCAAGAGTCTTTATACCAATAAGGTGAAGGCTCAGTTGCCCTGTGGTAGTCTACGGGCAAATTCCTGATTATCAAGGCCCACTTCTATGTTAGTTAAAGAAATTTGGGTGAAGTTGGTAATTTGATTCTAAAATTCCTTTCAAGAACATATTTCTCTTTGCTGGAATAACCTAAACAAATATTTTCCTAAGTTTTAATAGAACAAATAACTGTGAACCAAATAAAGATGGAGTTGTCTCTGGGGAACAGGTCACAATTAGAGAAACTTCAAATAAAATAGTAATTTAAAACGAGGTGGGAAGAACCTGAATACCTGAGAGGTGACTGGTTTTATTTGGCTGCGGAATGCTTTGGATGCTTTTTTAAAAATAACTATAAACAAAATGTAAATCTTAAAACATTCAAACCATTCAAAATAAAAAAATGCAATTTCAAAAACGCACTTAAAGGCTTGAACACTTGGGCCTATGTCAATGGAAGGGGTGTTTGTAGCACGCTAATAAAAATACATTTTTTATTGAGATTATTCCTTCCCTCCATTCGTTATGTCAACAAATATTGACCGAGTGCCTGGTAAAGGACATCAAACCTTTGGCAATACGCAAAGTGCTTTTTACCAGTTTGTACTTGTCCATGCGGGGTTGGACGCTTTGGAGAGGCTGAGCTCCTCCTCCTGCAGGCTGGCCTGGGTCAGCAGTCCCCACTGCCCGATCCCTTCGAGGCTCACACAGCTCACTGCTGCTGCTTCCTGTTGACCTCCTGGCCCCTTCCCTTCATTCACGGAACATGCTGGTGCCTCATACAGCTTTCTTCTACTACTTCAACTTCTGCCATCTTTCTGGATGATTCTAATGTCCACTGTCCAACCCAACTGCCCTCTCGGGTTTCCTGATCTTGTTTTGTGTCTCATGATCTTCTGCATTTAGCCACTGCAAGGTCCTACCTTGGAAAGTAGTACACCATGAACTTGCTGCTCTCCGATCGTTAATCCAAGCATCCTGGTCTGAGACGAGTGTTTCCTGTCCTTTCAAACCTGCCTGTTCCAGCAACTCCCAGTAGATCAGAGCTGCCATCAGACTGTCCCTCGGGCTCCCTACTACCTTCCCAGTGCTCTGCGTAGCCCTCACGTCCTTATCTGTCCAGTTTAGATATGTAGGACCATTATTTCAGCAATTACTCAACTAGCATCCCGTTGCTTTATCAGACTCATCTGGCAAAACACCCCGTATCTCCATGTTCTCCGTGTCTGCACCCAGGCCATCAGGGTGCTACTATGGAACGGAACGGAAGAATCACAACTTTCACTTTTAAGTTCTCAGTCACCAAACAGCTGGGTCCTCCACACTGTTCTGTAGTCCTATTATACTCCCCACAAAAACTATTTTAAAACCTCCTTTTTCAAAAGCCCAATCCCCTTTGGTCTCTGACTTCCTAGGGAACACCCCAGCCCACATGCGCACCTATCCCACACGCCCATCTGCAAGCCTGCCAGTCCCTCGACCAGCGCTTTGGACCCCATCGTCTTCCACCCTCTTTGGACCCCAGCACCATCATGGAGTCCTCCTGGCTCTGTTACCTTCAACTTCTCCCTCTTTCCCGAATCCTTTAGCAGTAGCTAAAAAGGGAAGACACTCTGTTGCCTCAGTTCCTGCCTCCTTTTTACATCCAGAATTCAGTTTCGTAAGGCGGCCGCTTTCTGCCGTGTGCCGTCTCTCCTGCTGTGGAGGGAGTGTCTGTCTGTAGGCCGCTAGTTCTTTCCAGGTTCAGTCCAGCGGGCGCCTGTAATCCCTCGCTCTGCTCGGTCTCTCGGCGCCATCAACACCGTGCAGAAGCACTCCCTTCTTTCATCCTTCCTTTACTCCTCCTGGTTTTCCCTTCATCTCTTTAGCTTCTACCTGTCCGGCTTCTTTGCTTAGCTTCTGCCACTTAACTTTTTAGAGTTCCCCGGAGTTTGCCCTGGGTCCTCTTTTCTTTGTACCCTCCCTCCAGCAGAGATTGGCACATTTTTTCCTTAAAGGGCCATAAAGCAAATGATTTTAGGCTCTGCAGGCCTTAAGGTCTTTGTCACAACTTCTCAGTTGTGCTACTGTAGCGTGAAAGCAGCCACAGGCAATAATGGGACCGATGCGGGTGGCCTGTTCCAATCAAACTGCATTTACAAAAACAGACGGGCTGGGTGTGGCATATGGTTTGCCAGGCTGTCGTCTGTCTCCCTAGAGAAGTACCCTTTCCTGTGTCTCTCATGACCAGCTGTACATCACATTCGTACCTGGAGACCCCCGTGTCCCTGGTAGCCACATTTAGATGTCTCTGTGGCATCTCAGACATTAACCTAGGACTCGTGCCCTTTCCCCCCAAATCTGGTCTCCCTTCAGTGTCTTTAGTAAGAGGCACTGCCATTCAGATAGCTGCACAAGGCAGGAAATGGAGCAGTTGTCCTTGATGCCTCTCTCCTTTTCTCGTTCTTTGAATTGGAGGAATACCTAAAAGGGGGTAAATCTCGAAATGGCCAGTATTTGAAGCACACAGTCAACTTTATCATTTCACTAACAGAGCTAAACTTTATTTCCATGTTTATTACATGTTCACCTTTGATGTTGTATACATATTAGAATTAACATACAACTTGGGAGAAAAGCTGGACGTTCTCCACTGAATGGGTTAAAAAGGAATGTAAAACTACAAAATCCTCGAAGTGTTGAATTCTAAATTATGGCAAACAGAACAATAATTACCTTGCCATTTTTCTCTTTCTAGTTCTCCAAGATGAATTTCATTATAAAATATTTTCATAACAACAATTTATTTAAAGAAAGGAAATAAGGGATAATCATTAAAACCATTTGACTTGAAGTATAGACTACAAATAAAGAAGAGTCTTAACGCAGAACTCCTATCTTCTATTTAAAATACAAATCCTTCATGATATTATGAATTGAGAGGGATTAACTGACGTCAACTGCAAATCTAATGACTGAAGCAAACCCATACATGCCATTTGCTTTTGTCTGGAAGAGTCAGGCTGATTTAAAGGTGACACACAGCAGAATTCTATTTGATAACTATGTCAACCATTTGCTACTGAGAATGTGGATGGCCAAATATTAAGTACTTAGTCATAGAAATTCAGATGAGTCAGTTCCAAGTGGCCAGCTAATCATTCCACCCCTCTGCAATCTATGGCCATGTACTAACGTACAGAGTTTAGCATTCACCGCAAGTTTTAAAATAAAACTCCTCTAGCTACTCTGAAACTGCTGGGATTCACAGTACACAAAGAATATTGTCTCTAGTATAATTCCAATGTTTGTTTAAACAAAATCAAAATTAATTACGGGTGGTTATCAAAGTTGTTATTTGGTAATAAATATGGTTTTTTAATTCTCTATAAACAACCCACCAAACACAGTGAAGAAAGAAAGCTGTGTAATAAAAACTAATACTTACATACATACAAAAAAAACAATCAGCTTAAAATTATTTTCCACTAGGAATTACAGGATGAAAACTCTACATAAAAGTGAATAATGATTATTATCAACAAAAAACGAGTGAGAAGAATCAGCAAAAAAAACCATCTTCTTAATAATGATGTTGAGAAAAAACATTATACTACTGATAAATACCTTTCTCATGTAACTGTTTAGGACAGATGATTTATGGCTTTTAAATTTTTAAAGTTTCACATTTAATGTCATGTAGTTAAAGCTTTCAAAATCAGTCTTCCAAGATCAGATTCTTAAATAAGAACAGAAAGGACAAAAGAGAGACAAACTAACTCCTTATCAACATATAGCTTCCTCCCTTCCCTGGAAATCAACATTTCTCTTAAACTTCAAGGCACACACTCCTTTTCTTAGACCCCAGGAGTCGACAAACTTTTTTTCTGCAAAGGGCCAGATAATTAAACTTCTCACGCTTTGTGGGTCATACGGTCACTATGTAACTACTCGATTTCTGCACTGTCCTGAGAAAGCAGTCATAGACAATATTTACAAAAAGGAGAGCAGTCTGAACTTGGCCTGTGGGCCATAGTTGGCCAACTCCTGCCTTAGAACAGATGTAAATAGAAAAGAATCATTGAAACTGGTCTCTAGTCAGATGTGATGACTGACTCAGAATCTAGCAGTTAATCACATTTTGATGTTGAACACTTTGAATGTAGCCAACTTACTACTCTTGGTTAAGATTCTTCTATTCAAACTCATGTCATCATGCTTTAATTTATCCTCATTTAAGAACTTGGTTGAGTATTATTTGAGGGATTCAGTTTAAAATTAATAAATGATGTCCATACAATTTAATATCCAATTTAATTTTTAAAAAACTTAATGAAAATACAACAGAATCAAAACATTTAAAATAAGTACACTCACTACCCATTCCGGTAATTCATTTAAGTCATATCAACTATAGAATAGGAAAAATAAATTCAGAAGTGTAATTACTTTAAAATACACTATTTCCACTTTTGTTAATATTTTACATTTATGTATATATTCTATAGTGGAAGCAGAAATTCTCTCTAAAAACATCTCCTTAAAATCTTGAGGTGCATGTTAGAGCCACAGGCAATATCTGACATATAAAATTGCAGTACAGGCCTTCAAATTTGGCATTTCACTGGTACAATACAATGACCAACATATATAATCACTGTACAGTGCCTAGACATTCCAGTAAGAACCATTATTTTCTTTAATGTAGAATGATTAATACATATTCTACAAGGGGCAGTGAGGTTAGTAATTCTATAGGGTATGTCCTGACATAATTTTCAAATTGTACAATAACACAAACAACTCTGTTAAGGCCATGTTTTATTTGCTGATTAATGGACAAAAGGCAATGTAATTAATTTTCAAGTATTTTCTTGAAAGTCTGTGCTCATAAAAATCATGAAAAGTTGGAAAGACTGTTAAATCACTGAAACTTTAAATATATCTTACACAATCTTGTTTGTACAAAAATACAAGTTAAATATAAACATAAAGCAATCAATGATAATTTTATGCAAATCTGTTTTATGTGATCTTCAGTTATATATAAAAGTTTCTGGGTTCTGTTATTTGTGAAAAGATCAATACCAGATTGAATTACTATCTATTGGCAAAGGGCCCTAAAAAGCTTACTTTAGCATTAATCTTTTACATGGTTAAGTGCATTTCCTAATTTGAGATCACCTAAACACTGAAAAAAAAAAAAAAAATGAAAGGGCAGTATGTCCATAAACCAACAAATAATTTGGCTGTAATGTATCATAAAACACAAACATCCACACATCTGTACAATAAACATTATTATATACTCACACGCAGGTGTCCACGTGCGTGCATGCACGTACACACACACACACACACACGCAGGCGAGCACACACACCCACTCATAAAGCCTAATGAGGTGCTACTTCCAGTTCCATATTCAGCTCTGCATTTTTTCTTATTTCATCAAATGAATAGCTTTTTGTCACCTTCCCATTCTTGAAGACAGTATGGAGAAGATCCTGTACAAACATAGTAACATTAAAATGTAATGGTTATGTTAGACTATCAAGCAAAATATACTTCAGTAATGCTTTGATGAATCAGACTGACTAGTCAAATACAGAGATGTTTGATGGTGTTCAAATTATGAAATAACTTTATACACAATGCTGGTGGAGCAGGCAGAGAGTGTGGCAATATCTAAAAGGGCTATGTAAAAATATTTAGCTTTAAAAGAAGCAATGATCTAAATATTCTTAAAAGTTTTCCCTGAAGGAAAAACAAACACAAAAAAACCCCACTAGCTGATCCATCTCTGTTTTCAGGTGGAAGATGCTTGCTACCCAGAAGAGTCATGCTGTCGCTGATCATCATGACTGACGGTGAGCAAAGAGAGCCTGCCAGACCTTCCCTTGTTCCTAGACAACAGACTCAACACTGATTAAACTTACCAACCCTGGAATTTAATAAATTTCCTAGTCACCGAGTTTTGGACTTAAACAAAAAAAAAACCCCTAAAAAAAACAAGAAACCAAACCAGAAACAAAAGTACTGATTTCTTGGTGAATGCACGGTGACTGATTTAAAAACTGTGTATATTCCAGAAGTTACTGATACATGTAATCCATTTGATCTACGCAAGGGTAACAACAACCATGAATTAAAACTAAATCCCCTCTTGGGTCTGGAAAAGCCACTTGGTTTCCCTAAGGAACTGTCTGCCTGCCTTTAGTTTCTCTTTAAAACACCCACAGACATAATCTGTCATGCCTAAGTTTTCCATCAAGATTGAGGTATGTGACCTTTTCTTTCATAAAGTTAAGTACTATCAGAGAATGGTGGTTCCCACTCTTAAATCAAAATGCCATTTAGGATTATAATCAATTACTGCCTCAAACGTTCGAGAGTACCATTTACATACTCAAAATCAGTGCCTTTTTAAAATCATAGTTAGGTCTGTGTCTAAAATGACTCTAGTCCATCTGGAAACACTTGGTAGCTAAAAGACAAGTGAAGGCTACCAAAGCCCTAAACAACAGGCTAGACCTAAAAGTTAGTTTAGAGATTAAATACTTGAAAAATATTTTGGCTCAAAATCTTTAAAGAATATTAAAGTAATATACTTTAAGCAGAATATTTGATATGGTATTAAGCATCCATAGTGATATATTAATGTTTGGTATAAACTTTTTTTTTTTGGTATTCTTTCTGATAATATGAATGTTCGTGAGTAGGTTCCCTCTAAAAGTGAGTTTTTTCAAAAAAAAAATAAATAAAAGTGAGTTTTTTCAATCCAGTGGCTTAAATAAATTTTGTAACTTCCGAGTTCACGAATATAAGTGTACTTTTGCATGTTAAAGACTGTTAGATCATATGGACCACCTTCAGCACACTAGAAATTTTTCCAGTTTGGTTGATTTGAATCCGAAAACTTGGTTAAGTCTTAGGTTTCACCAATTATTATTATGTCATCAGAATCCAGTCTTGGCCTTTTCATATCTTACACTAACGTAACATAATTTGCTTTTTTTTTTTTTAGCCCAGAATTGCTGTGAGAATCATATGAGACTAAAGAAAACTACCTTGACTGGATTCTGTTAAGTTAAAAAAAATACAGTTATCTTTAAGAACATCTCAGAATTTGGATAGCCCTTCCTTTATTAAAATTACCAAAATTTTACTCTAACGTCAATAGCTTCCTTTAAGTATTCTTGGCTATTCCTCTTCAGAAATTATTTGCTGCTAAACTGGCAGTAAGAGTAAGATCAAATACACAAAAGCTTGTTGAAGTTCATCAATCACTACCCTGCAGGTCACTATGTGAAAGAACTTTTACTTTTTTAATGTCATAAAGTTTTTCACTCCACTGTATGCACAATCTCACTTAGGATCTAGCCCCGTCTTGCTTTTCATCTTATTTTGGTAGGCTAGGTCAGCATTTGTATACTTTTTACAACAAAAGTACTTGTCCTTCAAGAAAAAATTTGTTTTGAAAATAATTAAAAAATACAACATAAGAGCCCCCTTTCTTAATTTGGAAAGCTAACCTACTGTTAAAAAAAAAAAAAGATCAGCATAGATAACATACATGACCATATTCCTCAAGGTCTCCTTTTCCTTCCTCAAGTGTAACAAAATTCCCTGCTGGTGTCCTATGTAAAGATAACCGACCCTTTTTGGATCTTTTGTTGGGATCAGCAACTGGGTCCTTGAAGACATTAATCTGGAAGAAAGAGAAATAAGACTAATCAGGAATGTTCACTCAATTCCCATTAAAGAAAAAAGTTTATACATAAACTTTAGGTACTTTAAATAGGTCTAACTAAACAAATCCACATCTGGCTTTTAGAAGCATAACTCTAGCCTATGTTGGAGGACAGAGTCCTCCGTTATGTAAGGTATGAACAAAATCCAAGTACTGAATATCCTTTCTTACCACTGTAGATACCTACTACTCTAGTTGTAGGATGTCACTGAAGTTAACATGTAACCCTTAAGGGATCTTTTATATTTTGAATTGCCTTTAACTGATTCAAGTTATAGCACATGCATGCTACTGAAAAAAAAATCTATGTCAAATGTATTATAGAATCTGTGGCAAGGGAACTAGAATTTTTACTAAGGTAAAGGCTTCCATTCATTCCATTACTTGATAACCTCTCCTTTTGTTACTTTTTACTCTATTCCTTGTTATTGTGAAAAGCAAAGAAGACCTAGAGAACCTGAAGAGAACGGGTTTGTTTAAAGATCAGAAGGTAGGAGGCCAACAAAATAGAAGTAGTGAATCAACCCCAGAACTTTCCAAAGACAGACAGAAATGAAGTAAATAAAGCAGGGAACCAACCCAGGTGTTCTGAGGAGTTCTTAGTATCCCCCACTCCCACCTTTGGATCCACAGATTCTCGAAAGTCTATGAAGGGTCAGGGCAATTGCTGTTCAGCTGCCTGAAACAGACAGCTTGGGTTCCCCTGTTTTAAGGCTATTAGAACGGGATTCTGCTATCACAACTCCAACCTCATGCTCCACCTTCCTAAAACACTGACAGTGCTGACGTACTTATCTTTAATATGTGATGGCTGGGTTAGCTGGCATTCCCACCCGAAATGGTCAGCTTTTTGACTCAAAGGTAGAATACTGAAGCAGTGGGAAATGACTGGCCTGTATCATCTCTTAAATCTTATTCTTCCTCCTCTCTCCAAGTCATGTTATTTTTTACCTAATGTCTCTTTTCTTTGTTTTGAGTCAAGGTCAGTGGTACATGACAACATATTATGAGTTTAGGACCATATCCTTCGGTAGAATGCAGTTATTCAACAGTCAGACATAGAAAGAAGTTAGTAACTCGGGAGTAAAAGTTGAAGGACGTACCCCAAGGCCATTGGTTACAACATAACTACACTTGAAGGAACAATTCAAGAGATCTCTTGTTAACTTCTGTAGCAAAGCTCCACCAGAACCGAAGGCAATGTTTTCAATACTCCATTTTTTTTGCTTCATGCCTTCTACAATCTAGAGGATTAAAAAACAAAAACTAAGTAATCTGATAGAGGAAGGTTATTTTTGCTGAGTCATACTGATGAATAAAAACATCCTAGAGCCATTTTATAACACCATACGTGGTGAGGTAAGAGTAAGGCCTACAGAGTTATATTCCATGTTTTCTCTTTTAAAAGACCTCCCCACCTCAAAAAGGTATAATTGTGAAAGGAGGGGATTTCATCCCAAGCTCCTGCATGTGTGGTGTTGCCGTTCTGACTGTGGTTAGGGTTGGGGGAATGAAAGAAATGAGGGAATGAGAAACATCTGGTGATAAAACATTTAAGGTTTTGTGTCTACCACAGGAATATAGTGTATAACACATAGGATAGACAAAATATGTGTTAATCAACTGTTATTGGTAAGGTTTCTGGTTAATAGCAGGCTATCTGGAGTTAAGTTTTGGGGGAGTCAAGAGTTATATATGGATTTCTGACTGTGCTGGGTGGAGGGGGTATAATAATGCAACTCCTGCATTATTCAAGAATCAACTGTGTTTATAAATTTTAAGCAATTAACAGAAAAGACATACGATCGTAAACATTTATGAAAAGAATCACAGCTGTACTTATAAGGAAACTTAATTCTAAGGATTGCTTTATTGGAACTTTAATATAAAATACATACCTCTTGTAAGGTATTGATATCTACTCCGTCCCCTTGAATAATTCTAAGATAAGGTGGCAGCAACTTGTAGCCCTTTGAGTTCTCAGTAACAGGGAACTTCTTACCCAAAATATCCAAAACCTGTAGGGGAAAATACACACCCGACACAAAATAACTACAACTGAAAAAAAAATGTGTAAAAGTTTTCCACAGTTAAAAAAATGACTTTGCTAGACAATCTTGAGAATATAAAAATTGATCAAGTTACTTAAAACGTTTTACAACACTATGTACAAGCCTTCTAAAATTTAGTCTTAATTCCTTTTGATTATATTAGAAACAGGCATGCTATTTCTCTCTCCTATCAATTTATACTGTAAAGTTGCTCAAAATACAAGTTTTCTCCTTCCCATATTTCAAATTATACAGATTCAAGAAAAAAATCTTTAACATTAGGAAATTAAAACAGTAAATATAAGTGAGCAGAGTGGCCCAGTGAAAGCATGTGGGCCCATAACCCGGAGGTCAATGAATCAAAAACAGTAAATATCATATTTTTAGTAGGTATATAAAACATCATTTGATAAACCTATAATTATGATATGGATTTATTCTGCCTATGCCCAACAGTTTGTTTGGCTTATTTTTTTAGATTTATTTACTTGAGAGAGAGAGCAAGCAGGAGGGGCAGAGGGGGGGAGAGAGAGAGAGCGAGAGAGAGAGAATCTTAAAGTGCGAAGCCTGATGCGGGGCTCCATCCCACGTCCCTGAGATCATGACCTGAGCAGAAATCAAGAGCTGGACGCTTAACCAACTGTGCCACCCAGGTGCCCCTTTTTGGCTTATTTTGTCTGATAGAACCCAAATATGAATTACAAACCTCAAAGAAATTATGCTATGCAAAGCTGGAAATGAAGTACATATAACCCAAGTTTCTCTGGAGTTCTCATTTAAAGGTGACACCCATTTTTTTTAAAGGCAAATTGCATATTATGCAAATCATCCTGCTCATTCATTGCCTACTAAGTTTTAGAACAGATGAAATTCCTGAACACTGATCTAAAATTTCTCAGAAAGCTTGGTCAGCGATATAAAAGACCTACCAGACATATATTTACCCCCAATCACTCCCTTTTCCTAAATGAAGATTTTACCAATGAGAAAATTACATATTGATGACTTGGTTTATTCTTAACTAGGTCAGTACATTTTTACTAGGTAACAGGGAAAACATGAAACCTGTTAAGTTTGCTAAAACCAAATTTATTAGTATTTCAGACTGAGACCTTCAAAATGGCCTATTACTGAATGGAATAGGAAAGGACTTCCTTGGTTCTATATCTTCCTTTCTCAAGGGTAGGTAATATTATCATCTACTCATTAGCTGGGAGAGTGTGGTAAAGTGGAAAGGCAGGAGCCAGAAAGATCTATGTTGGGTACTTGGCATATTTTACATGTTGTATGACCTTTAGCAAGTTATTTTAACCTCTCTAAGCCTGTTGCTTTGTCTATAAAACAGATGGTAATATTTATCATAGAGTCTTCATAGAGATTAAATGACACAGCTTAAGTAAAGCACCTAACACAATATTTTTCTAGTGGTAGGCATCAAATAACCTGCTCTTACTACTGATTTTCAAAGAAGGCAAACCAAGTCCTGAACGCTAAAAAACAAAAACAAAAACACCAAAACAGAAATGCTACGTTGAGGATCAACAGTATCTCCAAAGAATCACTACCTAAAAAGTATTTTCGAATTCTTTTTAATTCCACGTCACCTTGCATGTATTTCTTTTGCACTAAAAACTTCAAAGGTATAGCAATGACTTGCGGTAAAGAAAACAAACCACAAACTTGGTAACCAAATCACAGGATTAATGTTACTAATTAGTTTTCAAGGTAAGTAGAAAATATCTGTTCAATGTTATTATCTATTTGACAACATATAAATAACCCAGAACTTTGTATCCTTGGACAAATTAATTACGCCCCCTGGGCTGCAATTCTAAAACAGATAGTTCTGAAAAGGCATGTGCACAAATGAAATTAAAATAGTACTGATATAGCTCGTCTACAGGCATTTTAATAATCAAGTTATGTGTTAAAATTTACCTTTAATACAGTGTCCAGAGGATTTCCAGAATCAGGTCTGATTATCAGTGGTGCCTCTGTACTTCTTGACAGTATTAGATGTCTTAGGTCTTCACCCCATATTTTTTCACACGCATTGTAAATGTCATAGCTGTCGCTGACCACAGATACAGGCACTGATGAAAATTGTGTTACTATGTGTTCAAAAGCATCTTTTTCACGGTCTTTCCCCCAAGCTGTTATGGTACTAGAAAACAAAATGCAAACAGAGATTTACTTAGGCAGACACATCTATTGCTGAATCATCTCTCATGTACTATACTTACACCAGCAACAGCGCAAAGAAGGTGAGGGATTTAGCTTAATGAATACACATCATAAGGTTCATTGACTATTTGGGCCACGACACCCCTTGGCTGAAAATAACTATAGTTATTTTAACGCTTAAAGTCATAGTCACCCAAATTTTTCTGTATTCATAATACACCCCAAATTTTTTTATGTTAAATGAGTTATTTAAAATACTCATTTAAAATCAGTTCACTAGGGGCGCCTGGCTAGCTCAGGCAGTAGAGCATGTGACTCTCGATCCCAGGGTTGTGAGTTTGAGCCCCATGTTGGGTGTAGAGTTTACTTAAAAAAAAATCAAATCAAATCAGTTAGCTAAAAAAAGCACCTGCTGAATGCACTCTGTACATTATGCCAAGATGTCAGAAAGAATGAACACATATTCCTATTACTTTGCTAGGCAATGCAAGCACTTGGCTCCCTTCTGTGAATTTTCAAAACCATATACCAATAATAGCAGGGATATATATTTGTCTTTTTGAACTTTAAAAACCTTAAAGGCAATTACTAAGGCAATTATTTGTACTGTACTATATATACATATAGTCAACTAACCCTTTACTGGTTACATTTTCAAATGGCCAATAAGAGGCAGCCATTTATTTCATCTATAGAGTATCCACTACTAATTAATACATGCCCAGGGACTGTAAGAATTTTAATACTTAGTTTGGGCAAAACATGATTAAGATGGGAAATAAAATGTGAGAGTATGTATTAGGCAAAAACTGCTATAGTGATTTTTAAAATGTCCTCAATAACGATTCTTCTTATTGAATAGATTAATAATATGTAACAAGTACTTCTTGGCTAATTAATAAATATAAGTCAAGCAATTTAATAGTGAATTTGAAAACTGTTACCAGTTCCTCATGCCAAGGAATTTTTCCTTCTCCCTAATTTTCCAGTCTTCATCTCTACCATTTCCATTTTTCTAAGTAAAATAATGGGAAGACAACCCATTCATTTATTGTAGAACCCTATGTACGTACAAGTTTATCTCAAAACTATTTAAAGATTTTATTTATTTATTTGACAGAGAGAGACAGCGAGAGAGGGAACACAAGCAGGGGGAGTGGGAGAGGGAGAAGCAGGCTTCCTGCCGAGCAGGGAGCCTGACGCGGGGCTCGATCCCAGGACCTGGGATCATGACCTGAGCTGAAGGCAGACGCTTAACGACTGAGCCACCCAGGCGCCCCTCAAAACTGTTTAAAGAGTCATACTAATCTATGACTGAAACTGTCATTTCATTATGGGTTTTGTTTCTTCCCCCTAAAGGACTGGAGTAAACTATTTTCCCATGCTGTCAATGATATGCTGGTGCTAACAGAGCATGGACACTTCAGGGTTATAAAGACTTAGCTATCCAGAGACTCCTTTTATCTGAAATGGAGAGACAGCATGTCTAGTCACATAAAACTCATTTTAGAGTGAACACTCTTCCTGACAAGTACAGAGGCTGCCAGTAGCTCCGAAGCCAGCTCCCTACTTCACGCCAGCATCTGCAGGCTAAAGGGAAAATTAAGACATGGGTGAAGAGAAGCCCCTTCTTCCCATCAAGAACTACTACTGTCCTCTTTGTAAGGGTGGAGAGAATTGAGTTCAAAGAATACCAACACTAGAGAGCTTTGCAATGTAAGCATGAACTCACACAGGTAAAGCTCGTCGCCTACACAGGGATGTTTTCCCAGCGCTGTATCAGTACAGCCACCTAACTCTGCTCTTTGTATCACCAACCGCACTTCATTGTTCGTTTTAGTCTTTTACTTGCTTTCTCTTTGGTACTTGAACTTCCCTGAAGCTTTCTTTCTCATGACTTCAGTGACCTCGCCCCCATTTTTATTTGTTTTTTTCCTGTTTCTGTGGTTCCTCTTCAGTCTCCCTCAGAGGCTGTGTTCTTCTTCAATCTAACCATAGGCTCTGACCCAGTGCATGCTTTCCTTCATCCACCTCCCTTTGTGAAAAACACTCAAAATTCCCTTGTGGTAAGGGTTTCCAAAATCTGTACCTTAAGAGTCCAGGTTTTTCTTCTGGACTCCAGATCCACTTGTTAGGTAGGAAGATGATGATTATATGGATCACTGTGGAGACATTTCCTACAGCGCCCTCTACATAATCCAATTTTAACACCTATTCTTCTGATAATAGTATTAGGTATATGGAGCTCATAAATATTTGTTCAATGAATTCTACTAATGCCATATTCCAATCTCCAGGATCAAATCAAATTATCTTTCCGAAGTTTGAGGGAAAGATTATATAATAGCATATTTTTTTTCCTCTTCCATGTTCTATTTATTTTTGTTTTACTTATATAGTTTAACAAGGCAGTTTTACATAAGCTCAAAAAAGTAGCATTTTATTAACCACATGATGTACAATTTTAAATTGGGTTCCACATTAAATAGACTAATACATCTCTCTTAAATTTTTTGGTCAACCAAACTCTCCCCACATCTTGGGGTTCAGTGGGGTTTTTTTAAAAATGTGTTATTACTGGCTATAAGAAAGCATGGCTTTGCTTTTGCACAATCTCAGAATAACCATTATATGAATAGGGCAAAATAAGAATCTAAGTTTGTGAACTGGTAGTACCTTGGGAAGAAAACAGGAAAGTCCTGTTAAAACAAACAATAACAGCATATGTTTTTAAGTCCAGATTCGTATATTCCTTAAAATATTTGTAACAATAATGGCAATGCTCTTTTCGAGTTCTATCTTGAAGTTATTTAAATGTTAGCTCATTTATCCTTAATGACCTTCTGATGTTGGAGACCTGGAATTTTAGCTCCTCCTTTTGTTTGGCTGGATGGACAAACTGCTCAAGGCCACCTAGACTGTCAGCTGTAGGGTTCATTGGGTCACTCGGATTTCCCAGCTTTCAGTCCAAAGCTCCTTTCACTATACCATGCTACTGTTTACAAGATTTTTCTATTTAAGAACATCTGAAATATTCTTATATATTAGAGTCAAACTGACAAGTGTTGCAAATATTATGAGACTTTAAAATGGATTTCACTCTGTTTTAACATGAAAACCCTAAGAAAATATATCTTTATTCTCAGATTTATAGTATCATACTCGTGATGTTACTACTGTGAAAACAAAACCATCAGTGAAGAGTCTAATATAAGGATACTATTTTTTTTTTAAGATTTATTTACTTATTAGAGAACATGAATGGGGGGAGGAGCAGAGGGAGAGGGACAAGCAGACTTCCTGCTGAGTGTGGAACCTGATGCAGGGCTCGATCCCAGGACCCTGAGATCATAACCTGAGCCAAAATGAAGAACCCGCTGCTCAACGCACTGAGCCATCCAGGCGCCCGGAGATACTACTTAAGTTTTTAGAAGATGGACATACATCTAAGTCCAAAATAAAAATACTGTAATCCTAGAACCTTCATCTGTTGATGACATTCCTGTGTTCCCACTTTCATAAGTCTTGACCGTGAGAGTATTCAACAAGGCCCTACTGATACAGCAATGCCCATGAATGCGGAATCTACCCTCTACCAGCCCCAGCCTAATCATCAAGTTTTAGCAATTTCATCTCCCAAGCCACTGCTCATGTTTAGCCACTTCTTGCCATTCACTGAGCCACTGGGTTCTGCATCTTGTCATCTCTCCAAACTGTTGCAACAGCTTCCTACTCAGCCTCCTAACTTCTTGTTTCTGTCAATTTATAGGATAGCCTGCTATCAAAACAGTCTTCCTAAAATATTTCTCTGATGACAAAGCTGCTTATGCTCAAAACATCAATGCTCACTCTCATTTGAAAAAGTAATTAGATTAACCTAGCATGATGTGCAGTTAACATTCAATGTCAAATGAATTTGAGGACCTTTACTAACCTGTCTTGGGTCTACCCCTATGTTCCCAACAAAATCTCTTATGTTTCAGCCCGTATCCCCTAAACACATTCACTCTCCTCTTTCACTCTTGCTCTCTGAGGACAATGCTTGACCTGTGGTAGGCATGCAATAAAGATTTACTCCGAGAATGATCGATCTCTCATGTCTGCCATTAAATTTTGCTATTTATTCAAGAAGTGATGATTTCACATAACCATCTCTACGAAAAGCTTTCCTGATCCTGCCAGTGGGGTAACATCTTTCCTTTCCTTCCCTTGTACCACTAGAGCACTTTAACTTCTTTAAAAGTACTTCATCAACAGAGCAGAATGTTGCTAGTATATTATTTTTGTACTGAAGATAGGGTCCATTTCTTGTATCTTTCTATCCCTTATAGCACCCAGTAGATTGCCTTGGATAAAACCACAGCTTTATTCTAAAACTCACTGCTGGTTTTAGCACCCTGCGATATCCAAGTATGAATAGAACTTAATAAACCTCCCCAAACCGATTACAGTAAATAATTTTGGTTATTAAGAACCAGAAACTAGGTCTGGCATATACTGTAAAAGCTCCACTGACTTTGAATAAAGTTAATTGTCGAAGCAGAGCAGTTGCACTCGAGACTGTAACTGCCTTCTCATTTAACTTAAGCTGGCTTAGCCAGAGCCGATAAGGAAGCAAAGGGCCTTGCTCTTCTACAATAGAGGGTACTGGGTCCAGGTGACAACTTGCAGGGCATGCAGAAAGCAGGAAATAAGAAAAAGTGACCAAGTTTTACAGGGAGTGCTCCTAGATTTAACAAATAAAACATATCTGCATGTGGTAACAGAGCAGTTCTTAAAAGTTCTTAAAACTTACATGGTAATGAAAGAGTCAAAAGAAGGCTCTTCAACAGTTTTTATTAGGATGGTTCCAAGTTCTCTCTGATACTAATCTTTAATACCTACTATAAATACTGAATTTGTATTGCTTACATTTGTGAAGATTTACTGTAGTTCCTGGTTTGTAATTAAGCAAAACATCACTGAATCACCAATACAAGAGTGAAAAAAGTCATTTTAGAAAACAAATGTTTAGATAATAGGAGGATGAAAACAGAATTGTACCTGTGTTCTGCTGCTGGAACAGAATAGCCTGGAACAGGATCTTTCGTTCCATAGTATTTTTTAACAAAAGCAATTCCTGCTACTGTATCTGTTCCTTTGAAGTTAACCAAATGAGCAGACGCTCCTATGCCAGCAGTCTGGAAAATAAACCACAAACCAAAATCCAACAAAAGAAAAAGACCCATGCTTTGAGGTATAAAGCGTATCTCTCAAAGGAATTGTCTTCAACTATTTTTTTAAATTGTTTTTTTAAAGATTTTATTTATTTGTCAGAGACACAGAGAGGGAACACAAGCAGGGGGAGTGGGAGAGGGAGAAGCAGGCTTCCTGCAGAGCAGGGAGCCTGATGCAGGGCTTGATCCCAGGACCCTGGGATCGTGACCTGAGCCGAAGGCAGACGCTTAACGACTGAGCCACCCAGGTGCCCCGTCTTCAGCTATTCTTGGATATTTAACTATTATCAGAGATAACACTTCCTATGACAAAGATCCAGTTTTCCTAAATATTTAAGGAGTCAACTGTTACCTCCTGCAAGAGACCTACTGAATAGTGACCCACCCCCATTTCCCACCAGCCTCTTTTCCCTTACTCTGTCTTGTGCCTTTTTGTAGAACATTATCTGACACCTGCTAAATTTATTATAATATGTAACATTATATGTCTGTCCATCCATCCAATATATAAACGATAGGGACATTTGCCACGTACTCTGAACAGAGGCTAACACATAGTAGGTACTTAATATATATTGACCGAATGTCTGGAATTTTTAAAATGTAGCCTACTCAGAACCAAGATCAGTATCAGTAACTTCCCCCAAATTTATAATGGTAATCTAACCAACAAACCAAACCACATTCTATTAAATGAAGTTCATTTCAGTTTCTTACCTCTTGGGAAGAAACTCCTCTGTAGCCAAAATCATGTAACTTGTATTCCAGACCATCTAAGTTACCAGATGTCTCCAGCAAATATTTGGCCAATATTTTCTTCTGCTCTCTAGAATTTGTGGCCACTGTGATTGGATACCAGGACTGAACAAGAATAGTCTGTAGTGATAAAATTAGTCACAATTATTAGAATATAAACTATTGAGTTCTTTCTGTGGAAAATCCCTGCTTTCTCTGGAGGGATGTCCTAGACCTCCATACTACCAGAAATACCAGTTAGACATTTGAACTGTATAGCAAGATGCCCATCTTGTGCATTCCAGATATAGTGAATAGCTTAGCTCTCAAATCAGCAACACAAAGGATAAGCACAGCAGAACCTTAATAGTAGAGAACATCAAATTACCTAGTTTCTATCCAAAGTGCCAACGAAGCAAGTAATATTTAGAAAGACTGTGATAAAGGACCAATTTTTTTTACATTTTCAATCTGTCATGGACAAATAGTTTTATAAAATACACTCACTTAGGTGCTGAGGCAATTACCATGAAAGTTTCTAAGTAAGTTTGGTTATCCTCAATTTCTGTATTTAACATGGGCCTGCATCACATAGTTTACGGACCAGCATGGGAATACACTTTGAATAGTATGGGTATCATTTACTTCTCTACATAGTCTTGGATCTAATTTTTCCTTAGATCTATTGTGATTACCAGTAGGTTCTTTAGGTTGGAGATGCTTTCACTTAGCACTAGAGAATTCTATTCACTGAGTTATGCTTTACGTCCTTGGCTTTTTTTAAGTCATTTTAAGAAAGCTACATGAAACATTTCTGCATATGCTGTAAAACCGTGAGGTCACTGTCTATTTTATAATTCTTTTTAACAGCAAAAAGGTTTGGTTTGCTTTTTGGTTGGAAGAGATGGTTATGTTTAGCCCAATGTGTTCATTCCTCAGCCCCTCTGTAAGTCTGAGACATCTCTGCAGAACCCTTGGGCTCTTCTAAACATGTTCTGAAATCTGATTTGAGAACTAAGGTTTCTTCTAGCACCAATATTGATATTGATAAAGCAATTCAATATTTTTAGTGGGTTTTAAAATTCAGTGTATGGTGAATAGCAAAGAATATTAGCAATAACTTTGAACATACACTGGGAAAGGTCATTGGAAGGAATACTATTTAGTGCTTTTTAAAATGTTTTAAATCAAGGATTGCCTGAACAACATCTTTGTAAGTAACAAGTTTGTTGGATTTGGTATCAGATTTCATTTACCAGGTGGTAAACTTGGGTTGGGGATTGATAAGATTAGGATAAACCTCCTCTTACCCTTGCAACAGAAACCCACAAAGGATGCAAAGTTACTATGAAGAAGCCTCTTCTGGAGATTTGGTGTTTAAAGTAAACACAGTTTTTTATAAAACATAGGATCTATAATAGAAACCATAATAGGGATTGTGTCAGACCATAAACTGTTGTGGCTTAGATAAAAATAGCTAGCAAGGACTGAAATTATTATAAAATAGAAAGCAAATTTGATGGAAGTTCTGTTTCACGTTCTAAGCAAATAAAAACAAGGAACTATGTAATGTTTTTTCCCTTCAAAAGCGAACAGTCTCATGTTGGATTTTACATTTGGTCATTTTTAAATTAAAAATGGTATTTATTTGCTAACAAACCACTGCTCTAAGATTTCTATATATAATATTTTTAACTTTATGGCTTTTTAGTGAAATACACCAAAATAATAATGATTATTACAACAGGGGTTTTTTGTTGTTGTTGTTTTTAAAGGCTAGTGTTTTTGGTTTTTTTTTTCACTTTCTGAAGAAGATAAAAACATACATGAAACAAAGTGAGCTGGGAATTAGATCTCTAAGTCCATAAATATCTGCTTTATGGAAGTTCAATTAGACACAAGGGACAAGTACTTATTGACTAAACCCTCAATCAGAAAATTAAAAAAAAAAAAAGTGAAAAAGGTTACCCATAGATGATGATTTTCAAAATAAGATTTATCTGTTTGGGATCTTTTGGCATTGAAGGTAAAAGGATAGACGGATAACTCTTCCTCTTGTGTTTTTATAATACCATCCTCTTAAAATCTAGTATTTCCCAGTACAAAGCAGTGAACTATTTTAAGTTTTTATTTTGGGTAATTGGACATTTTTTCTGGGCCTATTAGCCTCCTATAAGTTGATGTCCCACAAAGAGTCTAATTAAGAGAGTTTTAAATTTTCTGTCAACTTAGACAATGTATTTCAAACATATTCTTAGACCTCTTAATTCTTCTAAATTTTCCAGTCCTTATAAATAACCTCAAATGTATGATTTTATAATATAACAACAAATTAGTTTAATCAATGAACTACTAAGATAATGAATTAGTTCTAAGCACTGGGTAAACACCTCTCATATAGTAAGGTGGTATATTTCTATAGTCACTTTCTAGGGTATTTCCTCTAGTACAGAAAATCTAAATTAAGCCGTTGAGAAGCTAAGTAGATTATTAATGTCAAAACTATGAGCATATGAAAACAGGACTGCTTAGGTACAGATGAACGGAAAACAAAGAACCTTGCGGTATAAACTCAGAGTCTCTAGCGTATCCTCCTTTTTGGGCTTAGAAATTAAAAAGATCAGCAAATCTTGAGTGTTGTTTAGATGAAAAATATCAGGTGGTAAAGTGTAGGCTCTAAACTGATTAGATAATGAAGAAAGCTGTTATTAAAAATCTGAACAAAATTCCTTTAGTATAATTATAACAGAATATCCACAAAAGATCTTAAGTTACTAAAAATAAACCTGTGCTACTTTTCTCAGTTTTCTCTATGATAATATACACTTAGGATTGCAACAAACAAGATGGAAGCCAACAGAGCTTTAACAGTAACAGTTCTTAATAATTTCACTTAAAGTCTCAGAACATTAGATTTCACCGGAGGGAAACAAAGATTATTTAATCCAACTGTCACTTTATAAATGAGGAAACTGAAGCCTGGAAAGGTTTAGCAAATTGTAGGAGATTATACAGCTTTATTAGTAGCAATTTTAAAAGTAGAATCCCAGTTGAATGGTTTTTATACCTTCAGTTGATGTTAAATAGTAATTAAAATACAACAATTCACCTCAATCCAATTTGTAAGCCAGTAACACTCTGGATCTGTGTTTTCCACTGTGAAGAGAACATTTCCTCGGGGAATGACATAGCCCTCGGGAACAGCTTTTATTTCTATTGGAAGATGCCCATCATATTTCTGGTAACAGACAATAATGAATTTATTCATTCAACAGATGATATGCAGTTACTTGTTTTAATAAAGTTCTTTATATTTTACAGAAGCTAATCTTACTGTCATAGAAACTGCAATTGTACATGTTACTATATTGCTAGAATATCCTTATTCTCTTGAAATAAAATTAGCTAAAATGAGTAACAGTTTAGGCACTGATACTAATTTTTAAATTTTATGTTATCAGAGTACTTTGCCTAAGAACATTTCTCACTAGAAGATAATCTCAAACTCATCTAAAGAAATGTTGTTTTTTCCCATTCTTTCAAAAAAAGTTTATTCCAACATATTCCAAAAATATTCCAGGAACACTATCTTTCTTCTCAGTAGTCATTTTCATAAAAGAAAAGCTAAAGGCTAAAAGACAAGGGACTGCTATGAGCAACAAAAAATAACAACAAACAGAAAAGAGAGGGCGCCTGGGTGGCTCATTTGGCTTAAGTGTCTTGCCTTCGGCTCAGGTCCTGGGATTGAGCCCCACATCCAACTCCCTGCTCAGCGGGGAGCCTACTTCTCCCTCTCTTCCCTGCTTGTGCTCTCTCTCACTATCTGTCTCTCACTCTCAAATAAATAAATCTTGAAAAAGAAAAAAAAAAAAGAAAAGAGAGAGAGATCCCTGCCAGTAGAATAATCTTAAATAGGTTTTCTCTTTATTCTGGCAGTAGACCGAAACCACTTTAGGAATAGAAAGGCCAATCATTAAGTGTACTTTCTAAAGCTTAGGCAATCAATATCCAAGTGCAACAGTTCTCTCCAAAATTAGCCTGAAACATATTTGCTACAGAGTATGTTTTCAGACATTTAATTATGCCTCTCTTCTTTTAAAGGTAAAAGCTGTGGCTAAATGTTGGCTAGGAAGGCAAATTATTTCAGAAATCCTAGTAGGTTTTATGTGATTTGGGACAGCTAACTAAATAAAAGAAAAATCTGTTTAATGAGAAGCACTGGAAGGCCTCATGATAGAGCAGAAAGAATACTGCCTTAGAAATCCTAGCGTGGACTCAAAAATACTGACTTGGACTCTGGGCAAGTCATTTAACATCTCTAGGTCTCAGACTATTCTTATAACAGGGTTAGATAAGACTAGGGTAGATCCCTAAAATTCTCTGAACATAAAATCAAAAGATTTATCACCCTGGCTACTGGGAATTATATTAATAAGCTTAACACCTATTACTGTTCTCTCCCCAACAAACCAAATGGGGTAAGTGCAGGAGTTAGCCAATAGATTTTACTGATCTTTCTTAAGATACAGGGAAAGTATAGCACAGAGTGCTTACTTGACTTCTTCAAAGACCCTTAAGTAAAAAATAGTAAAACTCAGTATTACAATATAGGCCTGAAAGTTAAAGTATTTCTAATTATTTTGTGTTTGATAGTATACAGTGGAAAAGACATTTGCTTTTAAGACATAAATGAACACCTTACATGGCAAGATGCCAAAAGATCCCATTGCCAATCTATCTTTGTAGTAAAGACCACCATCAGAGGACATTCTACTCTTATAACTCAATTCCCAGGTCTTTGGATGCTCAAAAGTTTAAGTAATCGATCCAAACATGCTAGGTATGAATATTACGGGACTTAAGTAATCAATCAGGACAACAAAGAATAAAAATCGACTTTATGGATCAACACAGAACCATTCCAATGATTCAGTCAGGGAAATTTCCTAGAATTATTGTATAGTGATAGACTCACTGTATCTATTCCCTTAAATAATCTATAGCCAAGAAAAAAGACCTAAATTTTAAAACTGCCAAATAACCATGCCCTTTCTTAATTATGGTACATTTTCAAAGAAAAGATTAAATCTCCTTTCTGAAAAATGCTAGTGATTTAAATTATAATTTATATTATAATCAATTATTGAGACCTGCTATAGAAAAAATTTAAATGTTATTACCCTTAACTTTTCACAGGAATATCTAAATAAAAATAGCCATTATATTTGGGTCACAGACAGAAAAAAAAGTCGTAATTATAGTCTTCTATTCAAATTCCTTTTAAGAAATTTTGAACTAAAAGCAAAACCAAAGTAGAGCCAAACGTGAAAACCATTTTTTACCTCAAGAATGTAGTTCCATCCCTTTTCATTAAAGACATCATCCTGGAAATGCTCTCTATACACCTCTTTGGCTTCCTGGATCTTCTCTTTGGTCACTACTTTGCCTGAAAAAACAAATTTCTCCTGTTAACATTTCTAAAGTCATTCTATAAATTGCTGAATTGCTGTAGGACTAATCTTTCTAGATATTTCACCATTCTATGGATAAAAAACCAAGAACTGAGAAGTTAAATGATCACCCAGAGTCAACAGCACAGCCAAAAAGGAATTTGCCCCTCTGCTCACTCACCCTAAGCATGTGTGATAAGTTCATATTTGAAAAGCAGATGTGCAGAAATTGTTTTTTAAATCACAGTCATAAGTCAACTTCTAAGATGATATTTTTTCTATCACTATTAATATATATACTCTTCAAATTATAGATAATTTTCCAGGTGAACCTTTTTACTTTATTCATAAAGGGTGTCTTTAGGGCTCATAATCCAATAATTTTCACAAGGACTAAGTTTTTGTTCCTCAAATATACTTTTAGTTATCTTTAGCTGTAAAATGAGGATAATAGTAGAGCACCTACTTACAGGATGACTGTGAGGACTAAGTGAGTTAAGACATATACTTAGCATAATGCTGGCCTATAATAGGCAATTCATAAATTTTAGCTATAATTAATTATAAATAATATTTTATAGTCTTTAAGCTGTAGAACTTCTGAAGTATGACATCAATCTTTAGTGATTTCTCTATATAATGTCACTAGTAAACTCATTTAAAATATCTTGGGAAGTCTTACTGCAAAGTACTTTGGATACTCAAGTAGGTTTTCAATGGTATAACATATCTGAACTGTCTGATCTTAAAACTGCCAAGGTTATGGAAAAAGGTTATTATCTGTGTAAAATTCAACTTAATCTGTCTTCATTTGAGATTTTTATTTGAAAAGGTTTCAGAGATGAAATTTTCCGAAATGTATAAAACCTTTGTGAACTGTTTTCGCCCTAGAAATACTATTATAAAACAAACTAGACATGGACTTTCAAATACAAAAGCACAGAAATTATTTGGTTTTTTTTTTCCATTTTAAAATGCATTTGAGACTAAGGCCACAGTGTCAGGCAGTTCTGAAAAATAGGGTTTTAAGATAAAACAGACTGACAAAAATATTCTAATTGCTACCATAATTCAAAATGAATTCCCAGATGAATAATGAATCCTTAATGTGAATTAATGACTTAAATCTATTAAGATAGCAGATTAGCCTCAGAAAATTATTGACTTTTCTAAACTTATTCCCAAACTTACTAGTTTCAGAAAATCTTTCTCATATTTACAACAATAAGCACATACACCAAATTATAAGATTTAATGCATTCAAATTAACAGATTTTTTACAATTCCAAAATAACCCCTAAAATAGTCAAAGTAGTTAAGTAAATATCAAAATTAAACTATTGAAGGAGTTATTTCAAATCATAGAATATAACAATATAGGAGAAAAATTATGAAGTGTTACATGAAAGCAGCGTTTTAAACGTACTAGGAAAAATAATACCTTTTAAGTACTTATTAAGAATGTACTGCAACCCATAAAATACTGTTTCCTCGTATTTCACCTTCTTTATCTTGGAGTTTTCTGTCTTCTTTTCACGGCATTCAAAGTAGGAATAAACTTTGCTTGTATTGGGTGGGTACTGTTTATAATGAGTAACCTAAAGGAAAGAGAAATACTTGAGTTAGAGAACATTAGAATAGAATATAAATCATGACAGAAAAGGCTTGAAATTATCTAAAACCAGAGAAACTACACTTATTTGCTACTGATCAGCTTCTTTTCCTAGCTGTAAAGAATACAAAAATAAGCATCATACTTAGGATACTTTTTTAATAGTTCAGTCTTTTAATTTCAAAACCACATGAGAGTATTAAATTTTATAAACAAATAAACTGAACTTAAGGAAACATGAAGCCTCTAAGGGGATGGACGGACACTTGAAATCAAAGTTCGAAGAAAGGTATTTCATTTGGTCTTGGGGAATGGTCTTCCTTCAGGGAAAGAGAGATGTAGCTGCCTGGGGGCGGGGGGGCATACCCCATGATATAAAAAATGAACTGGAAGCAGAATTTGGTACTGCTACTATCCAAATGTGCTATGTTTGATAAGTCAATACTCAACGACTTCCCATGACTCTACTGCATCTATATAGTGAGGTAGTGAGAATGACTCCTTCCAGTCTTCATAGTTAACACTATGAAAACCTGGATGAATGCAGCAGCAGCAGTAAAAAAAAAAAAAAAAAAAAAAAAATCCTGTTTTATATTACTTTTTCTCAAATTTCCTCTGAATTGGAAAATAAATGCCTGTCCAATGCAACATCAAATCCTTAGGAGTTTAAAAACAAAAAGTATTATTTCTCTTCCATGAATTTGGATTAGAGTTACTGTTGAAAGTTAATACGTCTTTGTTTTAAGAAAATGAGTTCATTTTAATTTGAATTTTCTTATATTTTAATGTGGTTAAAACATTTTACCAATAGAAAGTAAGTGGAAGAATAATATGTATGCGCTCTGTTGAAACAGTAGGAATGAAAATGCCTTAAAGCTTAAGGTAGAGGGCAGCCAAGCAGGTGATGGTGGAATGATCGCTGCAGAACAAGTTCCATGGATGACCCCTGTGAACATGAACCATTCTTCCTATTTAGCTCTGATCCTAAGTTTAGAGAAACCAATGCTTTTTCTTGTTTGGATGCACAATCTTAATCAAAGTAAAATTTGGCTTTAACCTAAAAAAATCTTTGTAGCTTAGCACAAAAATTCTAAGATAAATGTACTCTATATAGAGAGGAAAAAAAATCACAAATGTTTAATAAATCTTTCTTCTCCACAAGAAGCAACTTGCAACTCTATGAAAACAGCACCCTTATGCTGCTTGAAGGCAACCTGCGAGAAGAATCTGAAACCTGGAGGTAGACACCAGGGGTTGGTTTGGATTTTTTGTTTTTTAGGTTAGAACCTAGGGACTGATATTGCTGTAAGCTGAAGTAGTAGCTCAGTAAAACAGTTAAAACCCAGAGCAGTTAAATCTATGGACCAATTCACCAAAATGCAAAGACAACATAAATATATACATGAATGATACCCTAGTAATAAATCACTACTATTTCAGCTACTTAAGAAATGATTAGAAAAAGGTAACACTGCCTAAAAACATATCCAAGATGTATATAAAAATGAAAATGTCCAGTTTACAATCTAAATAACTCCAACTCCTTTAGTGGGAATAAGTAGTGAGGGAGAAGAAAAGTCAACTATGATGAAGTAAAATCAAAGGTCGGGATCACATTATGCAAGTTTACAGAAGTCAGATTCATAGCTGTGACTCTCAGTAGTTTGACCTTTTTGCAGTTCAGATACTTAAGGGTGCATCTTTATAAATTTACTTTTTCTATGTCAAATTTAAAAGTATGAGAAGACAAATCAATTATTTTCATCTTCTGAGTAGACCAAGCAGTCAAATGCTGAATGGAAATGTTCCTAAACTATTTAACTCCACTTTGGTCTAAAAGTATACTAAAACTTCTCGATCATACAAATACAGTTCCAGTTCTGGACAATGACTGAATATATTTATAATTTTAAAGCTTTACTTCTGCTGTATTCTTTAATTATATACTTAAAACCTTTGCATAAATATTCAGAATGCCTCCTCTGAAAACAAATGTCATTAAAAAGACAAAATTGTCTAGGCTGCTTAATTAGAAATGAAGTGTGACTTCTAAAATCTTCTTTGGAGAACTTTCAAGAACTGTTCTAGAATTTAGCTGAAGAAGCTTATTCTCAGGCAATTAACCACCTACCAATGAACACCCAATATATTTAAAGAATCAAATAGTATGTTTGGATCTATTTTATATTGGCTTATACCACTGTTTTAATGGGAAAAAAAATTTTTAAACAGAGCTTTTTAGGGCGCCTGGGTGGCTCAGTTGGTTAAGCGACTGCCTTCGGCTCAGGTCATGATCCTGGAGTCCCGGGATTGAGTCCCACATCAGGTTCCCTGCTCAGCAGGGAGTCTGCTTCTCCCTCTGACCCTCTTCCCTCTCGTGCTCTCTATCTCTCATTCTCTCTCGAATAAATAAATAAAATCTTTAAAAAAAAAACAGAGCTTTTTAGTAAATACTATTCTAAGAATACAGCCAATAGAAGATTTGTAATGGTTCCAGTTTTGCTAGGTTTACTACCCTCTTCATTTTGCTTTCTGCTGAACCACTTGGAACCTTCACTAGAAAATGAGATGATACAGCAGAAAATCAAATTAATAAATTGTTATTTTGAAAATAGTTTATTCACAAATATATACTGTATGTCCACTATGTATCAGGCATTGTTTTAGGTACTGAGGATGGGGAAATACTACGGTGGTTTTTATTCTAAAAGGGCTAATGAGGGTTGGAAGGTCAGAGAATAACATATAAATCAACAAAATAATTGCAGATCTAGATGTAGGTGTGAAAAATTAAAAGAAAATGAAGGGCTGGGGGGGCCTGATAGACTGCTGTAAAGAGGGGGCCAGGAAGGCTTCTCTGAGATGGTGATATGTGACAGGACCTAAACTACAAGGAGGTAGGAAATACATTGACTTAAGGGACAGAACACAGCGCCAGTGTGGTTGGTGCTTGGAGAGTGGGGAGGAGGAGAAAGAAGAAGAGGGAGTACATGCTAAGGTCACAGAGAGATGCAGGGATAAGATCGTGTAAAGGCTTGTATGTTACCACATGGAGCTTGAATATTATTACATCAAGTGCAAGAGGAAGCCATTAGTATGTTTTAAGCTGGAATGAATATGATCTGATTCATATTTTATGAGGATCAGCTTGACAGTGAGGTCAAGAATGGATTACAGGGTGACCAAAGAGGAAGCAGTACCATCAGGTAAGAGGCTAAAGACTAGCTTAGGTGATAGAAGTGGCTCATTTGGAGGTAAAGGAGAATTAGGCTAATAGATTATATTTGGGGGATAAAAAGGGGGAGGAAACAAAAGTGTTCCCTACATTATTGGCTTGAGCAACTGGGTGAATAATGGTGCCATTTACTGAGATGGGGAAGGATGTGGAAGGAATGGATTCCTTCCTCCTCAAGAGCTCAGTTTTAAGTATGTCAAGTAATACAAAGTTTCATAGTATTCAAAATTAAACTGAACTACAAAAAGGGAGCTATTAAATCATGTTGGGTTTTTTTTAGCACTACTTTTGACTTCTGTCAATAGAGAAAATGGTTCTATAATAAATTTAACATTATTTATAAAATGAAAATAACTAACTTCTCATAATATCCTCAGCAAACCTTACCTCTAAAAATATTTCCTCAACTAGCATGATTTTTCCTACAGCTAATAGAGCACTAGCAGTACACACATACATGTGTGGTAAAGAACACTGGCACACCAGAAAAATTACGTCTTTTAATAGAAGTTATTTTCACAGTCATGTGATTGATTTACTTCATGAAAAGCTAAAAATTATAATCAATCCCTAGGCTACTAAATACCCTTGTCCCAAGTATGACATTTAAAGAGAAATATCAGGGATGCCTGGGTGGGTCAGTCGGTTAAGCATCCAACTCCTGATTTCAGCTCAGGTCGTAATCTCAGGGTCGTGAGACTGGGCCCTGCGTCGGGCTCGGCGCTGGGCATCAGGCGTGCTTAAGAGTCTCTCTCTCTCTCTTTCTCTTTCCCTCTGCTCCTCCTCCCCACTACAAATAATTAAAAAAATGAAGAGAAATATAAGAAGTATTTAAGTTGCAAAGAATCTTGCTGTGAGAGCAAACTCTAAGTCTTTCCTGAGCCTCTCCAGATTTCCCATAAAGTGGTTTTTTCAAGAGCTTTCCTCTCACAATGGGATCACAAGACAAAGGCAACCACTACTAACCTACTTTATCAGTTATAATTTTAACAGCTAAGAAATGATCATAAGCCAACATTTTAACAATACCATGTGTATATAAGAACACATGGGAAAATATATATAATGTCACAAATCAGTTATATTATCTATATAATTTATAAGGGCACTCAGAAGAGGATCCACTCAGCCTTACGATGGCTAAGACCTTCTGCCTCGTCAATGCTAATGTGCTAGAAATAGAAAAAAAAATTAACTGATTCTTTCTTCTTTTCAACATTATTTAAGATTTCTCAAGCCTTAGAAATACTTCTATTGCCATAGAAAATAATTTTTTGCTATTTGGCTTTTGAAGCAATAATAACTTCAAAAGTATGGCTAAAAGATTTTTGGATTATACTTTGGGAAAGAGAGGAAATTGTCAAATCAGCTATAATCATACTGCCCTTCCCCTAAACCTCCTAGCACAGAGTTCCTGATAATTTGTACTTTTTTTGGCCACACCTTTGAGAAAGATGCAGTCAACTGACAAAGAGGACACCAGCTTCTGGTATCTTTGTTTTGCAAAATATTATATAATTACTACTGACCTAAATTAATCTTCCTATGAAGTGTATTCATGATTTATATATAGTATTTTGTTTGTTTTCTGAACTTTTCCTATAATTTATAATATAAAACTCACTGGAAAATTGCATCATACGAATGTACAGGTAATGTCTGACATACAAACTGCAACAGTACTGCACTCCTCGCAAGGCTCAGGCTGCCATGAGAGAGTCACTGTGACATAACTTAAGTGTTTGTTCAGA